GTAACCCGCTTGCCACCCGCTAAAGAGCAGCTAGTCGCATTTTTCAAATCGTTTTTTGGTGGAGTACGCGCGGCTTCTATTTGACATATTTCGGCCGTGATCATATTTCGAGCCACTAAAGCGATACCCCTAATTTATTTTGGTTTCGTATTGACTGGAGTTGCCCTTTAGTTTCACTTAAGCTGGTGTCGGTCGTGCGTATAAGACGAGTGTGCGTGTGGTGGTTTGCACTCTGAATCTTGGAGGGGGGGGGGGGGGGGGGGGGGAGACTAACTCTACTCGCAGACATGGCAGACTACACGAGCCTTTTGGCACACAACTGAATGAGGTTTCCAACAGGCCGTTTCTGAACTGTGTTCTCTCTTTGCTCAGTAGGAATCTGACTCGTGCAGTCGGTGTGCGTGTAAGAGCGCAGTCTAAACTACCTTCGCTGACTCCAAGTACTGCCTGCGCATCATTTGGGAACGTCTCAAGCTTTGGGATAGTAATTAGAACGAAGCAAAAATTGGGAAATTATAGAAGTTCGTATCCGCGTGGTAATAAGCTCAAAATGAACACCAGTACGCGTAAATTAAAAAAAAAAAAAAGAAAGGAGATGTACGAGGTATTTTTGTTTGTTTTAGATCTGATCAAACTTGAGCAGATGCTGGCTAAAGTGGGAGGATATTTGAGTCGACTTGGCATCCACAGATATGACGTTGAATGCGACAGTTGCTCCACAGCGCACTCAACTTTATCGCTGCGGTTAACATCCACTAACTTACGGGGAACCCACCGCAGGATGTTAGTGACTAGCGAACTACCAAGAGCTTATGAGACCGAGAAAGGCGCTGCATTTTCAACCCTCCCAACTGACTTCCGGTCGCCCCGCTTCGGCTTGCCCTCGATCAGCGCATGGAAATGATCAAGTTGGGTATTTATCCGGGTCATTCTCCTGCGCTATTCATAACGTATACGATGTGATCCACCGTCTTACGAGAATATGAGAAAAAAAAATATTCACGAAGTTTCTCGCCAACCGATCCTTTAGCTAACCAACCCTGCTGGAGCAGCAAAGCTGGTTATCAAAATATTTCATGGACGTTGCAGTGAGTGGTGCTACGGTTGGGATCTCATTACTGAAGGGTCTTACAAAAAGAAGCACGCCCTTGCGGTCCATTTCAACTGCGTGAATAACTTACATAAATTACTCGTTCGTTTCTGATGCATCGTTCGACTGACTTAGCTGAACGCTGACCCAGCACTTGTATCCAACATTGTGTCCCGCACCCTATGCTGATAGTGAGCGCGAGGAACCCAGTGCCCAGACTTTGCGTTGAGTAAACGCCGCGCTGTGAGTGTGCCAGGCAGGCTGGACAAATCTTCCCATGTAGTTCGGTCTCCGCGCGAATGGTTAACCAAGGTGGGTGCCGGTTTGGTAGCCGGCTCCGCGCAGCGCGTCTACAGAGAGCGCTTATCGCTCGGCTAACCGGATCTCCCTTGCTCGGCCTGGTTCTGCTGGTTGCGCGGCTTTGGGCTGAGCTGATCCTGTGGCGGGGACCGATTCAATAAAATGCTCCTGCCTCGGCATTCGAGAAATCTCAGGCACTCCTCCCGGCTCTTTGCTGCCCCTTTGTACGCGGACGAAGATACGCTGGGCTTGGTCATTTGGGAAATTGCCTTGTTTAGGAGTTTAGGTTCACCGAAGCCATCTCATTCCAGCGCTTATTTCGCAACAGTGAGTCGGATTAACTAGTTTGAGTGCAAACAGCCTAACAACCAATTCTGCCGTTTGCACGGAACACCTTCCTCTCACGTGGACTTGGGAAACGAACGGAGGAATTCAAGCGGCTTGTGGTTGTTTGGAATGTGGTAATTCAAAATCGTACTTTTGTGTCGCATTTTTGTTTTTCTGTTGCACTGCTTATTGGAGCTGCGCCCTCATCTTGAAACGGCCCTGAGCTCGACGAGTAATACCAATTTTTTATCTTTTTCCATTGGGAGAGGGGAGGCAGAAAATGAAGGAACCTGGGTGTTGCTTCACAAGCTTCTGTCACGACAGAGGGGAAACAGCGTGAGTATGCGCAATATTGGAGATAATGAAAGAAACACACTAAAATGTACGAGACATTATGTTTTAATCAAAAATAGAGAAGTAATCTATTAATCCTACGTTTCAGCTATCCACAATAGTCATAGAAAACTCCTTAACAAATATATAACGCACATACGCCGAAAGCGTCGCGAATTAAAGAAAAACGGGAACGATATTCTTCGTTATATACCCAGTGGAAGTGCTACCCTGAAAGTGTTTCTTAGAGTCATTACGACCTAGCCCCACTCACGGAGCCCATAATGTTTCTTATGCCGTACCGCCTTACGCTATAACATAGCAGAAATACATCGTATGTCAGTGACATATTCTACCGGCCGCAAAGTGGAGCTTGCAAAAACAAAATAAAGAAAAAATATCGAGTATGGGATACACAACTACGCAGTATTTCCTAGTCTTCTTTGGTGAAAATAGTTGTTGTCAGGATACAGTTTATAGAGGACACTCTTTGAGGTACGACACATCGTCCAGTACTTCGGTACATATTGTTGATTATGGTAATAATTTTTGGTGGTAAATCAAGTTTCTCATGAACTCACTTTTACATCCGGATTCGTTATTTTTCTCATTTACATTATTTTCTCAGTGTGTGTCTTGAGCTCTTTCATCATGTGTGAAACCTGTCCGCGTATTGTCCTTCACTGTAGAGCTCCATGTCTGTGTCGTGCTGAGTTTGAATCATGGGTTTAGAAATAGTGGTCTTCTCTGTCAGCCATCGTTTATGTCGGGATGCCCATTAATCTATAAGTCACTTCCCCGCTTGATACTAAACCGATCCTGCCGATTGAGGGGGATGCGTTGTAAACACATGGTTTACCGCTTGTACTGATGACGTGTCTATCTATAATACGTTGCAATTCTTTGATAGGTTAGCTTAACCTTTGGCAATTATGCGCCAGACTTATCTTTTGAATGGCCCTTTCAATTTGTACTTTCGAACGTTAGAAGCCGAGGGGTACTCTTCGTATACGATATCTGTGCTTGTCGATTGGTCTTTGTACAGTGTTCACCAAACTGAAACGGAACACGCAATTGTTTCTCATGGTACCGCGGTGGCAGCCGAGCAAACGCTTTATGACGTAGAGCTCAACAAACTTTCATGAAGTGCTACGTCAAGCAGCCGTTCTTCAACTTCCTCCATGAGAGCGCTACAAATGATAAAGCGCACAGTTCGCGTGATCTATAGAGGATTAGTGAACCCTGCACATATTCCCATGATATTCATTATTACAGGGTTCGAAAAGAGTCAGCGAGACAGCAGAGGAAGGAAGGGCGGCAGTTCAAGTGACCTAAAAATATGAAGCTTGACACGAAATCAATGGGAACTCAAATGCTTTGTGTCATATAACAGCCCGTATTCAGCGCCCGTTTGTTCAAACTCTCTTTCTTGGAATTGATTGGAACGCATAACATCTGACTGCTCTTTATGAAAGTTAAGCGTTGTTCCGTATTTAGTTTGGATGCGCGAGTGCCTAAGGAGACCTCTGTGGCTTTTTAATGGCGCACAAGCTGTATGCTGTCTATTATTTCTGCTAAAAATATGTTTTCACCCTTGCCGCGTTTCACTGCCCCGTGGCTGTTCCGAAGTGTACGACGCCGAAAGGTGTAACCTTTTTACCTGAAACTTTTTACTTTTTATACATAGGCACCGGTTAGCGTTTTACCTAAAGGTAAAACACTGCCTGGTGCGTCTTTTAAGCCCTTGCTCAGGAAAACGTACATATTAAAGCTGTGTGGGAACAAAGAGGACCGTGTTTTACCCGCCGAAAAAAAAAATGAAGTAAGCATCGCCGAACGGCCAATCTCTGCCGAAATATGGGGCTCTAGGTTGGGACCATATGACATAGTTTCAAGACTTACCGGTATCTGACTCAAAGCTTATACAACTTTTGCGTTAATATTTAAAGTGCGAAGATATCAGCCAACGAATGCTTCGTATGCGTGAAGTTGAATAATATCTAAACGGTCCTCATTTCCTCATTGAATATTTCTGTCAATTTCTTATAACGTTTTAATCAAATAACCCTAAGTTCTGAAGGTTTGGAATCTGGTATCAACTTCTAGCGCTACATTTGGGCGTAAAGTGATCGTTCGGCTTTGCGTAGTTTATTTTTGCGGCGACAAAAACACGGTTTTCTTGTCTCTCAAAGTGTCGGCATTTCCGTCTTGACCTGCCTGCATGAAGACCTATGGACGTTTGCAAGCAGCCAAACATCAAAAGGTAGTCTGGCCACCTCAGGCAGAGAATTCTTTGTCGGCGTACCAGTCCGGCAACCGTGGGCACGCCTTAGCCAGGCTTCACTATCTGTCGATCTTCGCACGCTGGCAGCAAGATGGCGGCAGCCAGAGGCTGTACTTGCAAACGTCTATTGGCGAGGAGATCAAACTATGAAGGGTGCTCTTTCCAGCTTATATTTCCCAGAGCTTGATGTTTACCGAACACATCATTTACGTCATCTTCCCCGACAGAGAGGGGTCACGGCGTGAACGTAGGAAGTGTTGAGAATAAACGAAGTGACAGTGCCGGGACACGGCAAGCCGGATCTTTCCCGAAGGCAGTCGTCAGAGGGTGCGAGATCCATTCACTGGGCCTTTTTGCAGAACAAGTGCTGGACACATGCATGGTTCATGCTTCATTGTTCACGCAGGCCGCAGCGGCTACAAACGAGCCCTTCTTCGGGCCACGGGACAACAAGAGCTCCAGCGTTCGGCTGCGTCATCCGAGCGCTGTGTCATTGTTGTTGTCCTGGTGTTTGTAGTTCTAATGTTAGGCGCTAGGGACGCAACGGTTCGATCTCCTCCCGAATACGGATTACTTCTCTGTTCAGATGACTGTGGCCCCGCGACTTTCCACGCGCTTGATCCTTGCGGTCGTTTTCATGTCCCCTGGGTCCCGTTCTGCTTGCAGATCTCACCTGCGGGGAGAAGGTGCAGCGGGTGGCGCTGGCGGTTGCCAAGGCAGCCTGCCTGCTGGGCCTGCTCTACCTGTTCATCTGTTCACTGGACTTCCTCAGCTCGGCCTTCCGACTCGTGGGCGGCAAGACGGCGGGCAAGGTCATGTCCCAGAACGAGGTCCTCAAGAACCCCGTGGTGGGGTTGATGATAGGCGTTCTCTCCACGGTGCTCGTGCAGAGCTCGTCTACGTCTTCGTCCATCATCATCACCATGGTCGGGGCAAACTGTGAGTGCCCTTTCAACTGCCGTAGCGTTATACGAAACCGCGCACGCGCGTTGCGGCCTTCTTGACAACACACTAGACGATCTCTGACCGAACAAAATGTGCCTTCATCGAGCGTGAATATGAATATTCGATGAGCCACATGTTGAGCAGGTTGTTTGTGTGTAGACTCTTAAAGAAATCTGAAATTGATGAAATGAGGTTCGGAAACGGTAAGTTTGCACGAAATAAGCGGATATTGTGTTGTTGGGTACAGTGAACTAGGTTACAGTATGAAACAAACATTGACTGATTCGAGCGCGTGGCTCTACCCTACTCTCCGTACTGTTGGATTGGCTGTTGATGGCCCCATTTCGGCTGAATCATTATTCACCCGGTATTGCTCACCGTCCTGCGCTTCCACCTATGTATGTCACCAATTTTGTTCCATAGAAATCATGGCTCAGGATATAAACTGCATATACATTACGACTGTACTTTTTTCGGGGGGTAGGCAGTTATTTAGTTGAAATTTTGATTTTCAATAGTATATAATATTCGCGCGCGCTCTCACCGTTGCGGAAACTTTCAGCCTTGAAGACAAAGTCAGCTTGTTGTTTGAATTAAAAAAAAAAAAAAACATTCACGCGGGCGTTCTGCCAAGTGGCGATCCAGCAAGGCGTGTTGGATGCGTTCGCATGTGGACCCGCTTCCGGCTGCTGGGCGAGCAGTGATCCAAGTGCGAGACGCCATCCCGATCATCATGGGGGCCAACATCGGGACGTCGGTGACCAACACGATCGTGTCACTGATGCAGAGCTCAGAGCGGAACGAGTTCAGGAGGGCCTTCGCTGCGGCCACTGTCCACGACATGTTCAACTGGCTCACTGTCATCGTGCTGCTGCCCCTCGAGGTCGCCTTTGGTGAGTTGTGCCAGAATACAGGTTCAGCGGGCGTAATCATTCGATGTGAGGAGTCGCCGCCGGCCGATTCGAATTCATGTAAACGCAGTGGTTAAAGTAGTATCAATACGCTAACTCGATTCGATGCGCTACGATCGGAGCCATGTAAACGCAGACCATGTCTGACGTGTTTTTCTGTGTCCCTTGTCTACTTTTCCTTTCGTATTCCAAGATTTTTAACCAACACGCTCTCCTAATTCTACATATGTTCATCCAGGATATCATCTGATTCTGAGCAAATTTGGTCATCCGAAGGAGAGCGGTGGATAATCTAGTGCCAGCTGTGTGTTTTCCAGGAAGTCATTTATCTTATTTTTTATATTAAAGGCAGCACCCATACGCATTTAATAATTGCAGGGCTAGTTGGCTCTTGACAGTAATGCCTTGCTTTATGGTGGGAGGTTGTACTTTATTCAATGACTGACTCGCTATTATTTCGAAACCAACTCTGCAGGTGTCTTGTACCACCTGACTAGTGCGATCATAAATTCTACTAACTGGTCCACCAACAAGAACGCCAACCGGGACTTCCTGCAGGTGTTGACAAAGCCTTTTACGAGTCTTATCATCAAGGTGAGATATCAGCACTTCCTTCAATGGCTTTGGAGTGCACACTAGTCGTGCGAGCGTTTTGTAATGCCCTGTAAATTCGATATTTTTGCTGAACTGAATTTCTGTATTATACGTTTTTATTAATGACGTCTGCATTTAGATTTGTGTGAAATGCTTATGGACGAGCTTGTAGTTCAAGTTTTTACTTTTTTTTATTATAGTCAAGGGTGTTAAGATGTTTACTTAATTATTTCAGCTCGACAAGAAAGTCATCGAAAAGGTTGCAATTGGGGACGAGACCTACTACAATCAGTCTCTGATCAAACGCTGCTGCAACCAGACCAAGGATGGCTGCGCAGAACCATGTAAGTGAATTTTTTAGTCATGGCAATGGCCCAAGTCAATACTGGTATATTGTGAGACTCGGGCACTAACCCGATTTTATACCGCACTATAGGTCATTTCGCTCTCGCGAGCCTGGAGTGGCAAGACAGCTTCGTGGGTCTTCTGCTGCTGGGCATCTCGCTCCTCACACTCTGCGTCTGCCTGATCCTCATGGTCAAACTGCTTCACTCAATGATGCGCGGCCGCATCGCAGTCGTCATCAAGACGACCGTGAATGCCGAGTATCGCTTCCCGTACTCAGTGCTTGTCGGCTACATCGCCATCCTCCTCGGCTGCATCATGACCATCTTGGTTCAGAGCTCGTCCATCTTCACCTCCGCCCTGACACCGCTGGCTGGCATCGGCGTCATCAGCCTGGAGCGAATCTACCCGCTCACCCTGGGCTCCAACATCGGAACCACCACCACGGGTATCCTGGCGGCTCTGGCTGCGGACTCGAGTCGCATCAAGTACACTCTGCAGATCGCCTTCTGTCACCTCTTCTTCAACGTGCTAGGCATCTTGCTTTTTTACCCGCTTCCCTTCATGCGGTTCCCCATTCACATGGCGAAGGCGCTCGGTAACACGACGGCCAAGTACCGCTGGTTCTCCATCCTATACCTGATCTGTATGTTCCTGCTCTTCCCGGCGGCCGTGTTCGGGCTGTCGATGGCCGGCATGGTCGTCTTCATGGTGGTCATCATCCCAGTGTTTGTGGTGCTTGTGCTCGTCGTCATCGTGAATATCGTACAGCGCAAGGCTCCGCACGCGCTGCCCGAGTGCATGCGCACCTGGGCCTGGCTGCCCGAATGGCTGCGCTCCCTGGACCCGCTTGACCGCGTCATCTCGAGAATTGTGGGCAGGTGCGCGTGCTGCCGCAGGATTTGCCCGCCGCAGACTGCGCACGACGCGACCGTCCTGCCGGCCATGCGGGAGGTGTCGTCCCAGATGAACTTTGTCGAGTCGCGGAGGTCGTCCTGTCCGTCGGACTCGCAGTCTGACCTACAAGCGTTCGAAAACTCCGCCTTCAACTGGACTAAAGACAAACAGCCTGCCGCCACGTTCATAACCCAGCTATAACCCAGTGTGTCGGAACCTATCATATCCCTGTACATAGTTGCGCGCCATCTGTACATAGATCTTCGTTTTTTACATGTACATCTATTCCGCCGGTGGGAGAGGAGCCTTACGAGAATATGAATGAAAGCCCCAATGGACGCGTTATCTACCGATACGGATCCAAATATCCGCGCCATCGTAGAAAGTCTGTTCCTCTAGATTCGTGAACTCTAGCGTGACGCAGCCTTGTCCCATCGCTGATGGAACGTCGCCCTGGCCGTGGCTCGCCGGTCTTTCACGTCGGCTTGACGTACAAACTTCGGACACTAGTCAGAGTTGTGCGATTGAAAACGGGGGTGACCGAAGACCCTTAATGATGTTTTTGACCTTGACTCGTAGAGGGCGAGGCTTTAGATGTCAGGGTACCAGAGGGTCATCGCGTGAATGCTGAGTAGTGCAATCGGAGAGCGAGAGAGAGAGAGAGATTGTTCCTTGCTTTGCCAGTGGTGCTCTGAATTTGCGAAATGCGGTGCCGAAGACCGCGTTTTTCCTTCAATTGGATAAGATAGGGCTGCAATGATTTGTTCGATAGCTTTTGGTGCTCGAATTGCGAAGACTCCCATCGTACGAGCCATCGTTTTCCTCGCGCGGCCGGGACGAACTTTGTAACAGACTGCGTTGCCCAAAAAGCATGTAGCCAAAATATAAGGATGCCTTAAATTACAAGCATTGCGGACTTTGTTATATCCGAGCTATGCCCGCAAAATCAAAATAGCGAATGATAGGCCGCCTTGTCTGGAAGTAAAAATACAGACCATCGATCGTTGAGATTGCGGGAGGGGGGAGATGCGTACGTTCTGCAAGTCAATCGGGGAAAAGAAAAACTGCTACGTACGTGCATTTCGATATATTCTTGTTTCAACTGCGGAATGTCGAGGTACTTGTAGAAACTTCAGGAAAAAAAAAAAGAAAAACAGAAGACGCAAAAAGTAGCCGGACAAGCCCGGGCGGAGCGGATTACGTGAGGCGACTGCTCGCCGCACCTCTTTCTCGCGCCCGCTCGTCGCCGCCTCCTCACACGGGGGACATCGACATACATTCCAAGGCCTCGGGGTTCCCCTGTCTCATTCCGCTCGTCGTTCTTGGATAGCGCCGTTTAGAGATCCAGTTTTCGTGGCCAGTACTGCGCCTGCCACATCGCCTAGTGTTCTCTCTTTCGAATCCTGGTCTGGTTGTAGGGACACCCTCGCCAACTAGGTAGCACGCCAGCTAGCCCCGAGGAACGTAGCCAAGCATCTCTAGTGCCTCCTCTAGGAGGACATCCGTAGACGAGAAAACGTCTTTAGCCAACTCCACGTCGTTCGCCTGTTTCTGGTGCCTGCAACTCGTGACGTGTCTGTCTTCCTCGTTATGCGTCTTTTTTTATATATACATAGTATATGCATGTTGGCGTGCGTGAGTGCATCTGAGTTAGAGTATGTGCTAACACTACTATTTTGCGGATTGGGTCGCTGTTCCCTCACAATCACGCAAAAGGGGTACGTGCTCCGTACCGAGCTTTTGTACATAGCCAAGACCCGAGCGTGTACATTCTGTAGCCGGGAAAGATGTCTGCTAGATGACTGTTTAAGGGTCTTGGAAAAGGTCGTGCTTCGTAAAATAGAAGACGCCTTAAGTGATACGCCGAGGGAGAGGGCTCATTGTAACTGAGTTGGCCCGGGAAACGTAGCGCTGTTATCAAAGCTGGTTTGATTCGCGTGCAGAAGAATAATCGATGGACCCAAGAAGCATCACGCGGGTACGCACTTTCTGCGTTCCTTGCATGCCTCGGTGGAGAGCCGGTTTTGTTGCCCGTTTATTCACGAAGCTGGATCGAGTATGCAAAAGAGGAAAGGGACTTTCTGGTATAGGATTGCGAGCATTGGACATAGTTTTGATTAATCAAATTCAACGCGATCCTAGGCACTTCCTTTCCCTGGCACTGTTTCAGTTTTTGCTTGTCGACTGTCGTTCTCTCTACAAAAGGAGTGAACGCAATTCTGTTCTGTATTTATTGAATTTTATGTGGTTATTTATATCATATGCAAGATGAACGAAAAAATATTCTAAAATATCGCATGGTTGATACGAAAAAAAAAAAAGAAACCATTGACAATAAAACTCGTTTTGCATTTCTTTTATAACTGCCTCTGCCTACATTATTTATTTTACTGGAATATTGGGTCACCTTGAATAAAAGGAAGAAGCTGTATGGGTGTACTAATATTTAGAAGTTGCGCGTAGCGTCATCAAAGGCGCAGGTCCTGGAGCGAAAACTTAGCCTTACGAAGTGTATATTGATTGCGCGGGAACCCCAGCGAAAAAAAAAGTGCATAGAATTATTTTCACAACAGATCTGAACAAAGCAGACGCAAGAAGAGCGTGGCGAACACCTAATGGTTTGGCTTACACTGTTACGTTTGACTGAGACCGACTGCCTTATGCCCGAGTATTTGAGGCCCCTGGGTAAGTTCCCTTTCTATTGGTCGATCATAAACTGAATTTAACAGAGAAATTGCGACTCACAGGAACACCCGAGACAGACGTCGCCGAACAAAAGTACAGGGGCAACATGAAACGAAACTTTGATAAAAGACAACGCCGCGATGCCAAACCTAAAATTTGATGATCTCATTCTCGTCAGAAAAGGAATCCCTGGGTGAAGCGCCAGTTTTCCTCTGCCTTACCGCGTGGTGGAAACGGCTGCACAGCAGGGCATATTCCGGACAATTTGGTACTTTGGCCCTAAGGAGACGAAGAAACTGCCCCTATTGGAAATGTTTTAATACGTAAGTATTAACGGTCCCATGGAGCGAAACCTGCGTTTTCTGTAACCGTCTGTACTAGAAAAACCGCACCCGCAAGCGGAATTCTTATTCGCTGCGACGCATCATATCATATGCTTCGTCACGGAAGTCGGCCGGGTGCTCAAGGTCAAAGGGGACGCGCCTCAGAAATAAAACACAAAGAAAAGGACGACAGCGCAGAGGCATCGTCACGGAAGCCGTGGAGTGGGAGGGAGCGCCGCGCCTGCGCAGTGGGGCAGCGTGTGAAAAGGGAAGACGCAGCACGCTGCTTGTAGGAATGCGCTGCGTGTAGGAATGCGAAAGCATTCCTAAACTTAAGCAATGTTAAGCGTCTCTAACGAAGCTTTTTTTCTTTTTTAGTAATATTTTAGGAGGGATAACTTCCGAAGTCCGGAGGTGTGAAGTGAGCTCGGCAATGAAAGAAGAGGGTGACGATGAAGACTAGCGGGGAGGAGAAGAAAGAAGTAAGATAGAATAAATGGGTTTGGTTAGCTTTCTCGGTGTTACTATAATTTGTAGATCAATGCATGACTGCGGCATTATGACTCGACTCTGAGCCTCCCATTACACTGCGCGAAACCCAGACCCCTTCGCAAACCATACTTCGTTGCACTATAATAAACCATTTTCAAAGGTTCATCAAGCAATACTGGCGGTCGCCATTGCTTGGGCACGAAGCGTATTACTAAGGACGTTTAGATACACTCGGCATGACACCAAACCCAGAAACGCCGAAAAAAATAATAAAACTGGATCCCCGTACTGCTTTGCGCATAAAACTGCTCTAATCCAAGCTCTCATCGTCTGCTCGCCGCTCGATCAGCTACGTTAGGCATAGGCTACGTCTGCTCCGTGGCTTTCGATACGACCGGCGCAGCAAAAGTATCTTCGACGAGCACGTGCCCCCCAATCTCATCCCGACAAAACGAAACGACAGATTTGATCATATGCTTGTCCACTGTAGAATAAACCAATAGAAATCATTGAATACGTGATCTAGGATATCGTTTCTATAATCACGCAGAGAAAAAATGGAAAGGATAGTACGGTATGGGGGGGGGGGGGGGCGATTTGACATATCTTATATACAAAATAATTTATAAAAAGCGCATGTTCTATAATTATTTTTGTACTTGTGAAAACGCCTTCTCAGTAGGTATGGCAAAATAATTACTTTATAGGCTCCGATTTTTCTTTGTTTTCAAAGGTGCTGGCCCCCATGGTATTTTGACTTGCTTAAGTTCTCGCGTTTGCCGGCATTGCGCTTGCTTTCTTGTGATTTGCCCATCACTGGACAACAGCTACTGGTGATTAAACCAGGATAACTTCTTTCACGCCAGACAAGTTTATTTCTACTCTATAAAATAAATAGCGCGAAACAGGATACAAACAGCGCATGCATCGATGCGATTATCGATCAGTATCCGGAAACGTGCACGGCTTGGGTATGAGCAGAGTTTTAGTAGGCCGCTCCGAGGACGCCGATAACGATACTTGACACTCCGCTGCCGCCTTTGCGTTTGAATCGTTTCGTTTTAGGGGTATCGGAACGATCTACTAAGGCAGAGTCTAGAGGCGCACTGGACCTGTCCCGTCAGTTTCCCAACCGTCAAACACACCTAGTCAGATTCCTAGCATATATGTTGGACCTAGTCAGTTGATTTCATCAGAGCAATGTCTGCTGATTTATATATTTATGCAAGATACCGCAAAGGCTTATTCGAGTGTGTCGGTCAATTTCAAATGTGCTCAGTCAATTTAACTAGAGGAAGCGTCCGTCCAGACAATATGATCTGCAGCACCCAGTATGGCCCTTGCTACCTCTGTGGTCCCCGGAAGCTTTATTTAGGTCTAGACATTTCTCGGAGTTCAGGGACAGAGACTTAAACTTCGTACTCCGGACTTTTTCTAATCCAAAGGTTCTTCAAAATGTGGCCGGTATTTCAAAGAAACATAGTGGGCTTTTCATGTTTATACTGTTCGGATAGTACGTCGGAAGTACCTGCTCAATTTGAACAAAAGCACAAACCGATGCATAGCAACCGGGGCAAGCAATGTCTGCAAATATAGGGTATGGTCAATTTACTATTCATAGCAGCACCCAATTATGCTAATACTCTATGATCTGGCAGAAACTGGCAACACTATGCTGGTCAGGGTTTGTGTTATTCTAAGTTAAGAATTTAGTGGGCATATGCTTTAATATTTTAGATCTCATCTTGCCGTGTTCATATACACGGTGCTGGATTAATCTAGGCTATGCATGCCATTGGATATCTAGATTATAAGCTCTCAGAAGACGACCAATCAAAGAAAACCCTTTTCTAAGCTCGAGGAGGGAAGGGCCTAGTTCTTAACTATTGGCTAACACAACATGGTGGCAGTGACCGATTACTGCCATCATCCTTTGCGTGATTTCCGAACAGAGCCTACTGGGTTGATGACAGCAAACCCACAGCAACATCCCCATTGTCCAGGTGCCTGAAGTTAGAATTTTAATGAAGGCTCCACTCTTCACTTGCCGAATGACGACACAACTTGCGCATATCAGAAGATAATCAAAGTCCTCCTGACAGTTTGTAGCATGGCTCGACTGCATAAGGTCTTTCCTCTGAGTGGCTTCACAGATACCTTCAGTGATGTCATATCAGGAAATCCTCTTTCTGGTAAATGATTGAAAAGGGCTCTTCGAAATTGTTGGTCATAAGAAATGGCAGTCCCTCAACTCGCAGTTTTCCCCGGATATGCAAGACTTCGGCTACCGTGATTTACGAACGATTGTAGCAGATGCAATGGCCTATGCTTCCATACCACTACGAGGAGCTCCTAAGACTTCATGGAGTCCAGCTTTGTGTTGTAGTCATAGCCCATGCAAGCACTTTCAAGTGTGCCAGTGAGCTAGACTTCAGCATATCAAGCAGTTTATCCATCTATTCTAGAAACTCTCCTGTCACTAAAGATTAAACAAAACCACTCGGCACATCTGCATCGTGCACATTCAAGCACTTGCAGACTCGGACTTCAAACTCATACCGCACACTCCACTCTAATTTTGTTTATAACAATCATGCAATGATCAGTTGTTGCTTTTTACATCATATTGTACAGAATGGTTGCATCTGTTACATAAAAAAGCTTGAGTATTGTTTTAAACACTTCTGATTTGCCTTGGCTATTGAGCTATATTGTGAACCTACCTTGGTTTTTCTACTAACCAAGCAATTTTAAGATATATAAGGTCTACAAGAAAGGGAACTGCATTGGCGTATTAAAGAATGGCAACATAAATGTACACTAAAGCAGCAAAGACAAGTTTTTCAAGCTGACAGCAAAGAAGTAAATGACGCACTTGTGAAGTAAAATGTAAAATGTCGTTAGAAGTGGCTGACGCTGTTTGCTAGATAATGAACAAAGCTTTAAAAAATCATGCCTCGAGACCTTCTTGACTGTGGATATACGTGAGTATTTACAAGAAACTCGGGGGATGAATCTTTGTCAAGTTTTTTGGATAGCAGATGTGGTTTGCCGGGGACACAGGTTAGATGCTATCTCCAATGGTAAGTATACGATATACTTCAAGGTGCATAAAGGCTGCAGCTGATGTAGCCAACATTGCCTAATACCACGATAGCTAGGTCCCTCATCTTTTTAAGTAGACGAGGCTGTGCTCTCTGTTTTAAAGACAAATGTATTTTGTTTAATTACTGATATTCAAATTGTGTACACTTTATTTAAATTAACTGAACATACACTTTTAGTCTGCAAACTTTGAAACTTGAATCTTGTGGCACAGGAGACCTTTGTCATAGGGTAAGGTCTTCTGACTCAATATCTGCAGATCTCCAACATGATAATCAGAAACTTTTTATGCATGCCCTGGTAGTGGGCGGGTAGTCTTTTCTCACCCAGAGTCAAAGCTCACAAGGTTTGACTAGAAACGTTTGCATAAGGGTGGTGTACGATGGTGTGATGTGTCATACTTCTGTCTCAAAGTCAGACTTGCCCGAGAGATCACATGACAGACTCAGATCCCCTTAGAATATTAGACTTTAATGCCAACCTTAATGGCAGCTGATGTACTCTGTTGCGGCATAGCTTGATAAAGAGTGAAACTTGGGTCTCTTTTATTCATTCGGGGCGATGAAGCGGACATGGAAGCTCTGTGCACGAGAAATGTAATCCGACGATACGCTGCCACTTTGTACATGCCAATGCTTTTAATTGGCTCACCGGGGCCGCAGCTTTCGCCTCTTGACAATGTATGGTGAGACGGAGTATGGTACCTACGTAGATTTTCAGGGCTTACAGGGTTTAGAGTTGACCTATTTCCAATA